CGGTGCCTAGCACCGTGGCGCGGTGGCTGCGGCGGCGCAGCTCCTCCAGGAAGCGGCGCTCTTCCGCTCGCAGGCTGCAGCGCAGCGCGGACACGAGCGCCTCGCGCTGCGCCACTTCCCGCCGCAGCTCGGCGTTGGCTGCAGCCCGTTCTGCTAGTTGCAGCTCCAGCGCACGGCACTTGGTCTCCAGCTCTCGGGACGCCACCTCTGATAAAGGCAGAGAGAAGGCTTAGAACAGAACCTGTACAGCTTACTGGGCCAAGTCACAAAGCCCTGTGCCTCCTGACCTGCTCGACCAGCATTACTCCCCACGCTTCAGTGCCCTGCCTTTTCTTTCTCGGAGGCCCTTGCACCTAAGCTACCCCTTTGCTTGGCTTCTCTAATTCTTCCGGTTTCAGCTTAAATTCAGAATCCTCAGAAAGGCAGCCTACATTCCACAAACATTATTACTATTTGCAATCCCCTATCAGTTTGTCCCACTGTGGTGGCCTGTGTATTGCTGTGATGCTGGAAGCTATGCCACCTATGGTGGACAGGTTTCAGCGGTGCTTCTAGACTAAGACAGACTAGGAAGAAAGGCCTGGCAATCTGCTTCTGAAAATTAGCCAATGAAAACTTTATGGATCACAACAGAACACTGTCCAACTCCGTTGCTTTAGACACATCATCAGGAGGGAGCAATCACTGGAGGGCATTATGTTCCGTGAAGCACAGGGCCAGTGAAGGTGAGTGAGATGGACTGGCACAGTGGCAACAGGATGAACTTGAACATACTGGCAATCAGGAGGATAAAGCAGGACTGGGCACTGTTTTGTTCTATTGTATATAAGGCGGCCATGAGTCAGAGTCAACTTGACAGCAGCTATCTATCTTACTATGTACAACATATTAGGCATTGGGATATGATGGATAATAAAACAGTTCTCGTAATGCTTAGAGCAAATGGGAGAGAGATAGTATATGTTTGCTAACAAACGTGAGGTTGCAACTGTGACACATGCTAGGAAGACGCAGAACAGCAGCCTGACTGTAACAGGAGCGAATGACCTAAGCAGGGAAGGCTTCCCAGAAGAAGAGATGCGGGCTAAGACCTGAAGGATGAAAACATGTTAGGAAGCAAAGAGAGAAAGGATGGGTGCTCCAGACAGAGGTAATAGCTTGTGCAAAAGCCCTGTGGCAGGAGAGACATGACAAGAGCAAGGGACTGAGAGAACTAGAAGTGTACACACGGGGAAGTCAGTTTGTCCTGCAGCGGGAGATTGACAGAGACTAGGCTAGGCCAGGGAGCTCTGGTGGCGTAGTGCCTAAGGCATTTGACTGCTAACCAGAAGGCTGGTGGTTCAAACCCACCAGCCACTCCTCAGCAGGAAGGTTGGGTAATCTACTTCTGTAGAGATACCGCCTCCGAAACCCAAGGAGGGGTTGCTATGAGTCTCAAACAACTTAACAGCAGTGAGGTTTTTTTTTTGGTAGGCTATGCCAGGGCCTCTGACCATGTTAGGGAGCCTGACTACCATATCTACATTAAGCAGTTACTGAGTTCCTCTCCATGTCAGGTAATGTGCTCTGCACTTTGGACTCAGTGGGTAACACTTAGTCTTAGCTATCAGAGATCCAATTATTTGATGACCAAGATCTCAACAAAACAAAAACCCTCTTCTCATTGTATGTGTGAAGTAATACTCTGTAAACAAATCATTTAATGAACTGCTACTATGGGAAGAAGTTATATTTTTGTGAAATAAAGCATTTCTTAATGTGTAGGTGTGTTTTCTCCTCATCTAGACTAAGTTCCTTGAAGTCAAGACCATGCTTGGCATGTTGGAGAGTGTAGACGCTGACTGTGGGAATTAATTTCACTTGTGTTGGAGGAAAGATTGGGGAGGTGGGTCACATTAGGGGATTCAGAGGTCCAGATGAGAAGCAAAACCACACAACCATCCCTTCCTGCTTTCATTTTCCCACTTTGGACAGATACATGGAAACAAGTATGTATGGTGGAGCAGGTTGCTTACTGCACAAGGTTGCCCAGCTGACCCCAGCTCAGTGGGCAAGTGGGGCATCTGACATCCCTAAGCCTAGGCCAGGGACTGAAAAAGCCTGGCTTCTGCTAATGGGTAGGGAACATATGAGTTGTCAGGCTCCCCCTGGCACTTTCCCACTAGTGGTCCTTTTCTTACCTTGCTGGTGAGATTGGGCCTCTCTCATCTCCAGGTCATGGGTCAGTTCTGGGAGGAGAGAAAAGAAAAGTGTGATAGTTGAAGATGTGTCAACTTGGCTGGACTTCACTTGTGAGTGGTGTTTCCCATGATGGATCACATGACT